AAAAGCTAATAGGTCGAGAAAATTTCTTGCAAATGTGCTCGTAGATATTGTTCAAAATATTCTTAAGTCTCACAAACCATGGTTGATGATCGACTTGGAGGACCAATGAATCGAGGCTCTTCCCTTTACGAAGAGTTTGAGGCGGTCCTACTTGTTCATGAATATAGGCCTGAAAAAGTTCTGCATTAAGACTAGGCAATAATGCATCTTCTCTTGGACATTTCTACTGTACCCCAAAGCTGACATGCCCACCTACATCCGCAATATCCATTTAGTATTGACCAGCATTCGCCCACAAAGACTATCAGTAGCCTGAACATGGCGTGGGGTGAAACGGCTCCCGACCGGCTATTACGGAGGGTACCAAGACCTGGCGAGCTATACAAGTTTAATTCATGTGCCATAAACAATAAAAAGAATGGGATTTATTACCCTGAAACTGAGGGGACCACCGATAGGGAGGCCTTGATTGGGACCGCTCGAGAGAGGTCGCAAGAATCTCAGAACCGAGAATCGAGCTACCCAAGGCTTGGATGACGATCTGTACTTTCAACGCACGGACGCTTGCATCGGAAGCTCACATCGAAGATGTGATGTTGCAAGCCAGGAAGATCAAGTATGACGTCATCGGAGCTACGGAACCGAAGAAAGACTTTTCCTCGGAGCATGCGACAGCAGACATTGGCGGTGTTGGTGTCCTCATCTTCATGAGCACTTCATGAGCATCAATCCGTACAAAAACTTGACGACCAAAATTGGACGTCTTCGTCTGAGAAGATGTGGTTCAAGGCCGGTTTTGACAAGCATCGTCGCCTACGCGCCAACATCGATCTACGATGAGTATTCTGCATGGGGGAGAGTTCCAAAAGCGAAGCAATACCTTCCTTTAAAGCCACCTTTGGCGATTTTAACGCGTAAGGGAAGTTCGAAACAACGGTTGACGAGCCCCATTTCGGAACCCACGAATTGGGGTGCAAGAGCGGGGTGCGATGTATGTTCGCGAAATCGAAATTTCCTCGTTGTGGTCGCTTGAGTAAGATGAGAGCCGCACTAGTAGTGATCCCTTCCCAGTTTCAAGCTTGAAAATGTATGTTTTTGTCCACTCGGTACTTCATTTTCCTGAAGTAAAGCTCTACGGGAGTTCGACCAGTATGAAAACCGAACAAAACATCTTGTCGCGCAGGAAACTCTATCAGTTAACATATGAACCGCAGACACATCTTTCCATCTTTCGAACTAAATTTTGCTTCAGATAAAACCGTTATTATTTGGCCTAGCTTGGAATCAGCCTTGTTTCTGTTACCTTCGGGGCTGCATTAGTGAGAATATTGATGACTAATGCAACCCAGAAATTTCTTACTTCTTGAAGCTTATTCGCAAGAGACCTACTTTATGAATTTCCGCTAGCCTCTCGGTTTCTTTCATCTTCTGCAGCCTTTGCTCTGGGATGCGACTATCCTTCGGCACTTCGACGCTGTTTGACGCCACCAGCGACGCCGATAGCGCGTCTGAAGACCGCCATCGTGGAAAGCTGTACGGCTTTGATGAGGCGGAACGGATTGCTTCTCTCTTCAATCAACTGTCCAGTTCGATTATCGTTGGTGCAATGGTGCGAATGAACGACTCACCCTAGCTCGTTCCTCGTCAGCTACACTGGCTTGCCAGAAACTTCTGACATTCAACGTACCGGTTTTCAAGCCTCGACCCACCATTGTTTGGCTGCTGTAGGAGTCAGTCTGGGCGTCTGAACAAAAGGTTTCTCAAATACCGGAAAGTACCTCTGTAACACACAACACACATCAGCCGATTTTTTAATAGTCCAACAGTAGATCTGAGTGCTGAGGAAATAGTTGGTGTATCAAAGAGATCGATCAAACAGGTTAGAAAACCCAGCTGTTTTTAGAAACGTGCAACCGTTCTGGAAGATGACAGGAGTGTCCGAACACATTTTAGGTAAGCCTAGCATAGCCCGCACACATGTTTTTCGAACGACGTGACAGCTCAAAGGAACGGTTTGTCATGACCTACGGAAATGCAGATGTGGGCGCTGTTCGGCGATGGAAGGGGCATTTTGCACTTTCGTTGCTTCGCTAGTTCCGGTTTTACAAGTCTCACTCTGGTGAAACCTGTGAACTCTTGTGAAGCTGGAGCAAGCTCGTCAAGCCATCATGGTAAAACCTGTCAACTCGAGAAGAGGCTGTCTAGATGGGTCGACACGTCGATGGGAAGTAGCAAAAGTGCAAATGCCCCTCCCCCGTTGCCGAACTGCGCCGCAGATGTGGGTTGTGTGGCCGCGGTGGACGAGCTTTTGCTAGTTTCTACGCTAAAAGTCCTAAGGTAAAGGAGTTAAGGCGCAAAGTTGCTCCAAAGACACCTCCCTTTTTCCCAACAACACCGCCCACAGGCTTCGCCTTCACAATCCGCCCACCCAAAAGCGATGCTGCTGGACAAGCAGCATGAAATAGATGTTCCATTGTTTCTTGTAAGGTCACAGGGTTATTCGAGGAATCAGCTGAACCTTTCACCTGACGTCTCGGACCTTGGGCTTTTCCTCTTCACACAAGTTGTAACTTCTCCTAATATTTGAACATCACTACCTACAATTCTAACTGGGGTCGAGTCTCTGAAGGCAGAATTCACGATTAGCCAGCGAAAAGTTTTTAGGCAGTGAGGTTAGAGAGTTTTTAGGCAGTGAGGTTAGAGACAGACGTGTATGAATCTGTTGACTTGCCTGTAAAGGAAGAAAAAAAGGAGAGGAAGTTATTGAAAACGCTTCAAATAAGGACCTACTAGTGGTAAGCGAGAGACAAGGAATCCATGTGGATGTTGGGCGAGAGTTCAGACAAAGCAGAGAGAGCACGCATACGAGCAAGGCAGTAGATAGGATATCCGTCAAAATGGGCGGAGTCACTTGCGCAACCTTGTGCATTACCATTGATACTTTACCACTTTTTGACTTAAAACTTATACAGGAATGCTCGTTGCAGTCAACGCTGCCTCTCTCTACGAAGAGCTCAAATCAAATAATTATGACTAATTCGGTGAGGCATTCGTGAAATCTAGCTGACAGTCGATAGCAGCAGCAGATTTATCACTACATCCTCCAGATATTGGTTTGAAGTGTGCGAAGCAAGCCTTTGTAGGCTCCAGTGACAGATCTGCTGCTACCAACTAGCATCTTACGGGTGCCTCTTCGAATCAGAAGAAGTAGTGATGAGGATTTCGCGCACTACTCCTCTCAAGGCTGGAATGTAGCTTTGTCTCTTCCCAGAAAAAATTGGAGCTTACAAAATTAGAAGAAGTCATGCTGCATGTTCCGGTGGTAGCATTTTTGGCGCGGCAGTCGAATGAGACTGCGACGATTCATAAAAAAGTCTTTCCGTCATAGGGAGCAAGAAGCGTGATATTGTAGTTTTCACGATAACCGAATTTCTGATAACCGAGTTACAAAGCATACTGTCGCCAAGCGCAACTTAACATACGACTATGTTTACATACTTCAACTTAAGATTCGGTATAAATGTGGTCGATTGGATGATTGGGATGGAGCCTAGCTGGAGCGTTCAGGACGTCAAGGACGAGACATCAAGACACGAAGCTGGTGAGCTCTCCGAACGGACAAGATCCAAGACCTTGCCGATCATAATAAAGTATTAGTGAACCTTGAATTCTGTACTCAGGGCCAGCATTACAGTTACTGAAGGGCGAGCATTCGATCAGATCAGGGTACAAGAATCCAAGAAACATACCCACAATGACGTCCGTTCGTTTAGAAGGCGTCACGTCACTTGTCTTGACGTTAACAATTACAATCGTCATCCGGCACTTGATTAGGGCGGCAAGGGGCGACGCGGCTGCGGCGTGTCACGAGCGCGGCGATTAGCTGTTTCCAGTCTTTTTTGGCCATTTTCTCCCTGATTTACACTATTATGGCTGCTTTTCTTGAGATTAGTTGTCCCTTGCCTTCACAAGATAAATTGTGATTGGAATTCCTCTGTTTTTTTTTTTGCGCACAATCAAGTAGTTAGGCAGACAATTGAACAAACACCTGAAAAAAATCGCAAAAACACTCTATTACAGAAACAAAAGAAAATACTCCACGCCCTCATGTACTTCGTAAAGATAACAAAACAATTGACCTTCAAAAAATAGAAAATACAGTGAAAATTAGAGAGAAAATGGCCAAATTGGGCCGGGAACAGCTGATCGTCGCGGTCGTGACGCGCCGCAGCCGTGTCGCGATCCTTGGCCGTGTAATCAGGTGCCCGGATGACAACTGTATAAAGCAAACAGGCAAATAGTAAGACTTGTCGCATAGTTGATATCGCCGCAAAAAGTAGGGGCGGTCCAACATTGGTTGTTTTCTCCCTGAGTGGGAGGGGGGAGGGGTTCATTCCGCCTATGCTGCCTTGACCCCGACTGGTTGCGACGTTATAAAAACATATGTACATTGAACGATTACGACATTCAATACCGAAAAAACTGAAAGTTTCCGCCGATGCTAGGTTTGTGGAGGTTATTTGGTGCTATAATCGTAAATCGTGACAACGGGTAATTGAGGATACTAGGGTTCACAACTATTACATTTTTCGGCGCTTGTTTCACCATTTTGCTTCTTAAAGATGACATTAACCTGCATTTAGCGTTAGAAATATGTAGAGTGACATTCCAGGAGGTTTCTATTTTGGTTTTCTTTATTGTTAAACATCTACGTTATTAATGATTGATGATCGTCACAATGGTAAATAGGACACCGAATAATATTTACAGACCAACTTTTGATAAAAAGAAAATAAAAAAGTTCAGTGATAGTGGTAGTAGATAGAATGGGCCGTATCACGTGCAATATTTCAAAAATCTCGCTGATTCTCATATAGTGATGCCTGATTCTACTGAGGGATCAAGATGGTCAAGGTGAATGCTAGGATTGAAAATCGGCACGAATTTCCACGGAATGGAGCATATCTGTCTAATCTAAAAGGTCAATAAACGGGAACGTTGAAATCGAAAGACAGGTGACACCTCCAGGTTGTCAAGACGCTCGGCTCCATCAAACAAGGAAATCTCAATGAGCTAGCAGATGATGGAGGGATTTGACAGAATGAAGAATAACCGGACGATGCTACTATTATCGATAGGCTCGTTGAATGCTTATTATCATGCGTCACGCAGTAACCGGTGTAGCCAACTATACAACCAGCTTTTACCTCGAGTTCCTAGCTGCAAGCAGACTGTTTTCTGTACAAATGGCTGTAATGTACGTATGAAGAGTCCTTCCATTATCAGAAGAAGCGAACCACCTACACTCGAAATCCCTGAGATGCGGTAGGCGTGGCTGCGTACTTGGGTTAAACGTAGAGGCGGCTAAGCTATCCTTGAGTATTTTCATATTGGGCAGAGCATGTCTTTGTCCAACAAAGAATAAAATGGCTGTTGTCTCAAATCGAAATACCTCACGAATGGCCAATCCCATGCCATTTTCGAATGCCACGCGTACCCCTTCTCAGGGACAAGGAGTGCACAAACTTAGTGCACATCTCGCTGTTTTCCTTCAAAAACGTCACAGGTAAAAGGGTGGAAAAAATTCAAGTGTATCTGCTGATTGACTTAATCGCGAAGGAAAAACAGAAAAGAGGGTTGAAAACGCTCTAAATAAGGTCCCCTCTTCTGAGCGAAAGACGAGGGTTCCTGGCGAAACACTAGACAAGAACATTTAGAGAGCATACAAACGGGTGAAACGGTAGACACGGTCGGAGTTGCACCTAAGCAAAGCAGCTTGAGCAACGTGAATGATGCGAAGTTCTCAATTAAGCATTTCATTGCAGCATTTGCTATATTTCGCCACACGAGGCTTCGGTTCTATTAAAGACAGTTGACACGATAAATCCCTAAGACGCTTACGGTTAATATGCCTGGCAGGTCGGAATCAGCGCCTTCTCGAAAAGAGTACCCTGATAAGGCCCTATGAAGCCACAACGTACCGACCCTGAACGCCCACCACGCCCGCCCGCCCACAAATGGACGACCGCACCTGATGCTCGTATTGCTTCATTTGCTAAGTAAAATATGAAGCGAAGGGATTGGTATGAAGCGGCTGCGGATGCTGCATGGATATATGAGTACATACGTGCAGCCGTATCTACCGTAGCGGTTATTGGCAAGATGCCTACGGAAACTCGTCCGAAATTGCTTTTGAGTCATTGAGAACGAAGGCTTTTCTTCGCAGGTTTTTGACCGTTTCACTTCGTTTTTCGCCATTTTCCCCGCTATATAGCACCCTGCTAGCATTTTAGGCCGAGTACCAAATTATCGTGGCAATTGCCTTCAGAGGCAAGATACACACGCACCTCCGTGATCATAATCCCTGCCATGTGTGTGTGATAGATACGCTAGTAGCTGTAGTAGCGTGCCACTTTGTCTGGTGAAAAATGTATGAGAACGAGTTTGGAGGGTTGCGATACCCGGATGCCGCCTCCCGCTTATGCCCAAGCTCGGCCATGCCAAACGCGCTCCCTGCCTGCGTCATCCCACTTCAGTTCTTCTCTACCGCTGAGTGAATGTTCCGCTGCGAGACCTTGGATCGA